AAGAGGAAATAAACCAGAATTTGAGGCAAGAATGGTCTTCAATGCCTACAGTGAGTACTGTTTTTAAAAATTAAATCAAGCAAGTACACATGAAAAAAATGACTCTAGAGATATATAGGCATTTCCATATACAGGGTGACCCAAAAATGTATGTATATGCATTTTGAATGATTCTAAAGTCACTGTTTATTACCATACAGTTTATTTTCAAAATTTAAAAGATCCACAGAAATGAATAATTTTCTTTGTCGATGCCTGTTTTCAAACTGATGGGCATTCTGGTTCAGGCACTGCTGATAATGTAAAGCAATGGAATCACAAACATCAAGAATCATTTCGTTCGGTATTTGTGAGCCCTCAATTAATCAACTGTTGCTGGTTTTGTACTGTAAACTTATCTTTTATGTGTCCCTATTAAAAAAAAAAAAGTCTAGTGGCACTTTAGGATAAATTTTCTTTGTTCAAAGCTTAGTCCGGCTTCACCCATTATTTCAAATAAGTTAAACCTGAAAAAGAGTAAAAATTAAGTTATCAGCTGTTAAAGTGTGTGTATATATATATTTTTGGGACACTGTATATGAGTCCTGAAGATAAGATTTCATTTAGAACTCTCTGAGCTTCCTAATGTAGAAGGAAAAGTATGTCCACATGTGAATGAATTTTATGTCCTAGTTTTCTCTTTTCTTTTTAAATATATTTTATTGGCTTTTTTTTTTTTCCAGAGAGAAAGGGAGAGGGATAGGAAGTTAGAAACATCGTTGAGAGAGAAACATCGATCAGCTGGCTCCTGCACAATGTGCCTGAAGCCAAGGTACATGCCCTTGACCAGAATCGAACCTCAGACCCTTCAGTCTGCAGGCCGATGCTCTAGCCACTGAGCCAAATTGGTTAGAGCTGTCCTAGGGTTTTTATTGCTCTTTCTACCTATATGCCAATTACTAAGTTAGACAGAAAAAGAAAATAAAAAGGCAACTAAATGACTTGCAGTGGGATTTTTCCCTGGGCTAGGATTTTCCCCTGGGTATAGAAACTTCTGAAAAACATTTTACCTGATTGTGTGTAGCCAACTTTTTGTCAATCTAATGAAATACAAATAAATACTAGCCAACAGTCTTGAAGTTCAAAAACAACAACAACAAATCTCACACAATCCCACTCCCTGCCTGAATACTGCTGATTTACCATTTTCACCACGCGTCCTGGTATCCAGAAACCCACTCAGTCATAACACTAAACGACTAATAATGACACTGCTGGCTGCCACGCACTGACTGGCCACCCTGTGCCAGTCACCCATGTACAAGTTTATACATGTGCTACTGCTTGCAGTCCTGATAGCCAGGCAGGGAGCAAGGTTCTACTATTACCTCCCCCTGCAAGAGGTGAGAAAACAGAGGCCCACAGAGAGAAAACAACTTGTCCAGATCAAGTAAGCAAAGGAGTCAAGATTTAACCATTGTCTGCAAAGCTCTCTCTCTTTTTTTTTTTTTTTTTTTTTTTTTTTTTTTTTTTTAAATTTTCACCAAGGATACATTCTTATTGATTTTAGAGAGAGGAGAAGGAAGAGGGGGACTGATGAGAGAGAGAGAGAGAGAGAGAGAGAGAGACATCAATCTGTTGCCTTTTGAATGTGCCCCAACCAGGGATCAAACTCGAAATCTGGGTATGTGCCCTGACCCGTAATCAAACCTTGAACCCTTCTGTGCATGGGACAACACTCCAATCAACTGAACCACACAGGCCAGGGCTGCAAAGATCTTACAAATTAAGATAAGATTGTCTCTTGGAACTTTTATTTGCTTAACCTGATCACCTTCTGACAAAAGAACAAGCATAGCTTTCAAAAATAATTTTAATACTAATTAAATATATACTCCAATGTATGACACGTTTACTTTCCAAAAAAAGAAACTATATGACAATTTTCCTTCCCAATAATGGATAATGGTCCTTCCTGCCCACAAACAGGTTAACGTAGTGAGACTCTGACCTAGTTCCTGCTGAGCTGTGTATTGTTCTCCGAGCATCATTCTCTCTAAAACAGCCTGGTGCTCGGGGTGAAAAAAGAACAGAACAGAACCTACAAAAGCATGCTGTCTAATTAAATGTATTAGCACCAATACCATAGATCAAAGCAAGACAAGAGGTGCCTCCTGTGTGAACCCAAGGATGGCAGCAAGAACCTGTCTACCCCTGAGGGTTCAGCAGGGAGGCCAGCTCCACAGAGAATGAAACCAGTGTTCTGCCTCATCATCCCCAAGGCTAAGGCCTTGCCTAGGATATGGACGTTAGAGCCCAGCAAATGGGCAAAAGCATAAGTTTAGGGCTCACACAGCTTGAGTTCCAATCCTGACCTTTGCCCTTACTATGTAAATGTGGACCTCTAAGACCTTTCATTGCCTCCAGTAAGGGGAACACTGATATCTGCCTAACATGATTAGTGTGATGGTTGCATGGGATAACATACGGGACCTGCTAGCCCACATCCTGGAACATAGTAGATGAATAACAGATATGAAACAGCCTTCTTCCTCCTGAAGGACCTTCTTCACAGGCGGGTGGCAGCTGACTCACAGTGGTGTGCAAGAAATGGCTGTTTAATTTTAGGTATTTTGCAAGCAAGTTATTAAATATAGCCATCATTCAAAATTAAATTATATTAACTTAAAATAAAAACAAAGGGCATACATACTGAAATCTCTCACTTCCTGATTAGTTTACTCCGCGTCACGGTTATCTGTGCTCATCAGGTTATTTATGTCTATTGTCTATTAGGCAGTGGAAATATTGCATCATGGTGAGCTACAGCACTTCTCCCCCCAGCGCACCTTCAGTGCTGTCACATTGATAGCTTGAAATAAGCCCTGGTAGGCATTATTTACATGGAAATTGGCAAACACCATAAGTCAGGATTTCCTTACTTTGGGAGCCAGTTATTAAAAATTTATCAGCACACCCCTAGTATTCATATTTCTTCATATCCCTTTTTGTTCCAGCATCTTTCATCCCTACTCTCTACATATTGTCTATATATAAACACATGTCCATCAAATTTAAAAGGAAAACAAAAATCTAACCCTGTCCAGTTACCATCCTTTTTCCCCACACCTTCATTACCAAATTTTCTGAATAAGTATGCTTCATTCCTACACTTTTTACCAGCCTCTCATTAATTTATTTATCTAACAATTACTTGTTCCACTACCATTAGCCAGACACTATGAAAGGAATTGGATATACAGATATAAGCAAGAGGCAGCATAGCCCCCTGCCCTCAGGGAATTCAATATGACTTCTGTCCTACCTTGGAAATCTACAAATCCCTACTTACTCCTCTGTTTTCTCTTCCTTTGCCTCCTTAAAAACTACTTCCCCAAATGTTTTACCTTCATTTCCTCCACAGCTCTCCACAGAAAGGTCAAGGTTCTCTCAATGTTTCCATTGTTCGTCTCTCTTTCTCAAGAATTACTGTGATATATCCTCCCTGCAACCCTCAGGAAACTTATTTCTCCCCTTGATTTTCCATCTCAGTAACTGACGCCACAGTCCACCCAACTGTTTAATCCAACACCCCCAAATCCGTATATCCTTCCTTTCCTTTCCCCCACCCCAAACATTAGCAAGCCCTGCTGGATTGGTATCCAAAAGGTATCCCAAACCCACCACACCTGCTGACCCCAGTCTCCATCTCCCTCAGTCTGTGCAGAACTTAACTCTTTTCCCTGCTTTACTCTTATCCCCAACATCATGTACCATGACGAAGCCAGACTATTTAATGTAACCATTTCTTACCATCTTAAGATAAAACAAAATATAACAACAGCAAAAACAACATCCTCTAAAAATAATGGTGTGGCTCCATTCTACTCAGAATAAAATTGAAACTAGTTTCCTTAGCTAACACGGCCCTTCATTATCTGGGACCTGCCCACCTCCTGACCTTGCTTCTCCAATCCCCACGTGTTCATTACCCCAAGTCTGGGACCCTGTGCCCAGATCTTTGCAGGACTAGCTCCTCCTCTCATTCAGGAGGATGCAGGAGGCCTGCTCTGACCAGCCAATGCAAATGTGTCCCTCTCCATCACTCCATTCACCGTTGTCTCTCCAGTGCCTGTCTTCTACGAGAAGCGACTAACAGCAAAGACCTTGTCTTTCTTACTCACCAGGATGCTCCTGGTTCCTAAAACAGAGTTTGGCTTGTGGTGGACACTCAATGGGTACTTTATTTAAAACAGATACTTAATAAATGAATGAATAAAGCAAGAGGCAAAAAATAAGAAACAGGAAAAGGTGGGAGTGATGAGAAACACAGACCCTGAAACAGAGGGGTTTTTCTAGAAATGAACAGAAAAATAAGAACAGCAACCTGAAGTAGTAAAGGACTAACACTATGAATTGAATTTCCATCTTTATTAGGTTCTGGCTTGCTCGTGGCTTGAGCAAGTTTAGAGGTAACCTAATTTAGTGAGCACCTGTTCTGATAAATGGACGTTACGTGTTGCGGCTAGGTGAAATTGCTTTTAAAAAGCAAGTCCCATGCTTTCAGGATTTTCCTGCATCCCACAAACCTTTCTGAGAGGCAGAGTCCCCTGGGCTTTCTCCCATACCTGTGCTGTAGTAAATTCCTATCATACACAAGAGCAAGCTGAGGCAGCAAGCGGAAGGTAGAGCGCTCTCCTCCCCAGAAAGCCAATGGCAGGGGTCTCCTCACAAGGTTCTTCCGGCAGGAAAAAGAGAAAACGTTTGTTCTCCTTAATTGAGTGTTCACACACCCACACCTCACCCCCTGCTTCTAAATAACAGCAGAGAGCAGGGCTTTTCCCAGCTACTTCTTTCTTATCTGATCTAATACAGGGAAGGAAGGTAAGGAATGAGAAAGGCAGAGAAACAAGGAGTGAGGGGGAGGTCACAGAACCCAAGTCAGGGCTTCTGTTCTGTCAGCCCACATAGATGATGCTGGATGGTGAAAACGCGCACAGTCCAGGAGCCCAGCACAGTACCTCATCATGGACCACACAGCTCGAGGAGATACTGGGAATCCACTGCTCTTGGGTTCTGGTGGCAATGGCGAGTGGCAGCCACTCCAGGCTCCTTTGTGAGGGAACCGCTGCTGCTTCCCATTCTGCCGGAGGGGGTGAGCTGGCAGTGAGGGCTGAGGGTTCCCCGGCTGCTGGGGGCTGCGCTGAGGGATGACCCCATTGCTCCTAAATAAAGTCAAACAGAAAGACAAAGCTTGCAACAAGAAATAGCAGTCCCAGTCCCAAGTCCTGCTCTGAGAAGCAAACCATTCTCAAGTGGCTTAGCTCTTTCATTTCTGGTATGGACCACAGTATTTTAAAATTAACATAATTATAATATTTTTTTTATTTTAGAAATTATTACATTGACTTCCTAATATAGAAAACTAGGGCTCAGTCCTTCATATATGGTCTCTCTCTCTCACACATACATACACACACACACACACTCTTCATCACTTATCATTCTCCAAATATATTTTTCTCATAATATTTGATGGAAGTGGTATTCAGGATTTGCATAATTACAAACTTAGGAAATATCATTAATAGATGATCTATCCAAAGTACTGTGATTAAATTTTTCTTTCATAAATCCTCATAGACATAACTCATGTAAATTTGATGGACAAATCTGAAAGAGTCTGATTCTACCAAGTGGTGGTGAGAATATGGAGCATAGAAATCCCAAGATACTGCTACAATCATTTCAAGGGCTTATATCAGCATGTGACACAGCGAACAGGCACTGGTCTGTGGTCCCAGCAACCCCATTCCTATGGTACACCCCGGAAAAACCCGCATGTATTTGCACAAGAAAATCCACTGCAGCATAGTTTATAATAGCAGACATTGTGAAAATAACCTAAATTCCAAATCCAGAAAACTGGATAAATAAATTGGGATAATTAAATACCATGCAACAGTTAAGGTGAATGAACTATAACTACTTGTATTGGCAATGATGTATCTTAAAGCCTAATGATTAATGAAAAGCAAGTGATTTATATAAAGTTTGAAAATATGTTAAGTAATTCTTTTCGGTATTCACTGGTATATACATAGGAAATAATGGCAAAAAAAAAAAAAATCATGGAAATAAGTGCCAAACTCAGGATTGTGGTTACTTCTAGAGAGAGTGGTTGGGGACTGGGGTCAGGGAATGTTATTGTTTGTATATTGGACATTTTATCCTAAATTTAATAAAATAAAAACAAATTTAACTCTCAGGGGCTCATCTTTCACTAAAAATATGTTTTCCTAAATGTGATGTCAAACAAAAGAAATCCCACTCCATTGGTGTGGTTTCCTTAAAATTTAGGAATTAATTGCTCTTTGTGTAGGAAAGTGCTTCCAACTTTGTTTCTGTTACTGTTTCTTTCCTGCTGCCTGCATCCCATAAGGAAAGATCTCAAAAACAACCTAGTGCCAAGATATTTATTTTAAATTAGCAAATGAATGGGTGTAGATCCCTAAGAGTTTTGTGCAAAACTGTGTACATTATTCTGGGGGGAGGGACACAATTTTGTAAAATTCTCAAAGGGTCATGACACCCAATAAATATACTCAGAACCTCAGAGCTGGTCTCCTGGTACAAATGTGCACCCAATTCCTGTGCAGCCCATGTTCTGGGGGGTGGAGACAGGGGTGCTCAGAGGTAACCCTGTGACTCTGGAGTCATAAGGACCAGGGACCTAATTCTGGCTCCACTCAGGGATAAGTGACTACAGAGGCTACTTTCTGTGCCTCTGTTTCCTCCTCTGTCCAATGAGGGCAACAGTTGTGAGCACTGTGTGACTTCACACCTGTAAATGGCCTGGCACACACAATGCCTGGCACATGACTAGAACTTGGGAGGCATTAACCATCACGGGCCAGGTCTCCCTGTCACATGTTCTGGTTCCTTCTCACCACACTCACAGCTGTAGTTACTCATGTAATGTCTGTCTCTCCCAATATTGGACATGCTCTCTGAGGGAAGAGGTCTTATCTCTTATTCTTGGCCAGGTACAAAATGAATATATGTTGAATGGGTGGAGGGGAAAAAAATGAGTGTCTCCACTTATGCAGAGCAGCTGGTTTTCAGAGTTAAAAGTTACTTTTAAAAAAATCACAGATGATGAGCCATGCAACGTCTAAGTTACATATCGGCATATTATTCCTTCCTTTGACCTTCTAGCAGTTTACAATGGAGGTCAGGAAAGCATAAAAGAATAAAAGAGACAATTAAGCCTGGCTCAACAATAACTGGATAAAGAATAAAATATAGGCAACGTGGGGCTGCAGAGTCCCAAGGCCAGAGGAGACAGAAACAGAACCTCAGCGATGAGGTTAAAATAGCTCAGGACCCGACCCAAAGGGAGGGTCTGCAGTCAGTTGTCACATCTTGCTGCTGCCAGTGAGGCAAAGCAGAAAGGAGCCAGGAAAAAGAGACCGAAAGAATGTAAGAAAGTAAGTGAAGAAAGCGGGAAGCAACAGAGGTCGACAGGTTGTTTTCTAAAAACAACAACAACAAAAAAACACAACCAAAACAAAACAAAAGGCGAGCAATGCAGTTGCTTCCATCAGTTAAGAGGATCAGGAGGAAAGACTCTCACATAAGCGAAGGGAAGGGCCTCTGGCTCGTGGCTTTCTTGGCACGGGGGTCAAAATGATAACGGGGTTCCTTCCTCAGAGATTTACAGGGAGTCAACAGAGCTCTAAACTCCACTTAAAGGATGTCTAAGTGCAGATAGGCAGGAAGGTGATCAGAATGTAATGGTTAATCTCAGCTTGTTGCCACTCAAGAACCCTGCTCTTATCTTTATGTCAAGAAGTATAAAGCGGTAAGAAATAGAATAAAAAGGCAGGATTTTTTCAAAGATAAAATTCTTCTCTGGACAAGGCAGAAAAATAAATCAACCACATTTTTCAAAGTTCAAACGTAAGGACCTTATAATTACTGAAAAATGGGGTCTGTATGTCAAATTGTTAGTAATTATGGAATTAATAGAGGAAGAAAATCATGGTATGTGTCAGAACTATTAGTAGGCCTTAGTCATTTTTACTGGCTGCAGTACACAGGATAAAATGAATATGCGTTAAATTTGTAAAATAAAAACAGGCTGCTAAATAAACATGTTCTTTGATTTGCATAGGATGCGTGAGTATTCCTGTGTGGTTTAGGTTAGCCATTTGTGAAATTTCAAAACAAAACTCCCAGAACTCTGAGGTAAGGATTCTGCTCTAGAGCAGACTCCAGCACAGCAGTGCCCTTTGATGGAGACGCTAATTTGAATGCCCAGGTTCAAGGCAAGCTGTTAACAAACTGTGTCCACTTGCAATTACTTTTCTGTGTGAGTCAAGATTTCTCAGTGTTTTACAACCAGAAAATATTGCTAATATAAACTTGCAAGGAGTATAGATACTTCTCAATTCCTAATTTGGGGCTCACAAAAATTTTATAGTCCCCACTGATTTCTATAAAAGTGTGAAGAGTCTGAAGATTTATCTTAATAAAACAAGGCTCACTTGGTCTCAGGTGAAGTTAGGTTTAACAAAAATGTTTTTAATTTTTTAAATGAAGTTTCAAAATTACTGTTTAAGTACTTTTTTTGTGACTTGGCTCCAGAATCCTTTTTTCACTTGATTGCTTTTTTATTTAAAAAATTTTAATGTTAACATTATTGCAGGCGTCCCCTTCTTTCCCTCCCTTTGTCCGCACACTCCCTCCCTGGGCTTGGCCTTCATCACCTATTGTCCATGTCCATGGCGTATACATATCCCTTAGGTAATCCCTTCACCTTCTTTATCCAGCCACCCCCTACCCTTCTCCCCTTGGGCATCGACCAGTCTGTTCCATGTATCCACACACTGCTTCACATTCAAATGGACTTACGATTTCTCTTGCTTGTGGGATAGGGAAAACAAATCATACACCAAGCACACTCCGAACACGGTGATGCCGGTCTCTTTCACCAGCATGGCGCAGGTCCCCAGGAACAAACCGAGCAGCAAGAAGAAAGGAGAGGCCGTGGAAGGGAAACACTCCCCAGCACAGCACTGGTCCACACTCCTGAAAAACAAGGCGGAGAGTATCCTAATACAAGAATGTGGATTGCTAAGAAATACCACCTTTCAACACTAAGATCTAGCATCAATTTTATTTTATTCTAAATAAGTGGGTGAGCAAATGTTTCTTCAATCATAGAATTATGTAAAGATGAAAAAAGTAGATGCCGAGTCCTGATTTTGATACTTGAAATAAGGTATGCAAAAATTATGATAAAACCTGATATATAATAAATGAACACTAAAAAGCCATTTAAGATGCTACCATAGAGACATAGCTAGTGACATGAAAGATGGTTAGGTGACTATATTTTAAGTGAATAACACAGGTTACTAAGCCACATGCATGAACTCCAGAGCCCTGGGTTCCAATCATAGCTGTATAATTAAGTAATAGGGTCATAGGGGGTCAGGTTACTTTGCCTCTTTGCCTCAGTTCCCTTCCCTGTGAAATGGGACCCCAGTATTGGAGTGAGAATTCATTAAGTGACTAAATATATATTTAGTGGTCACCACCATTATTATTTTATGTTTTATATGCTTCTGTACACACACAAAAAATCAGTGGAGAGATATACACACAAAAAAATATACACACACACTCACACACACAAAACATAATCATCGTTTCTCCCTGTGATAAAAATATAGATAATTTAGCTTTTTTCTTTTCTTCTGCCTAATCTGTATATTTAAATCCATTTTCCATAAGATGTATTATATAAAGGGCTTTTTCCCCCTCAGTATAATTCCCAGCAGAGGTTTTCAAGAACCCTCCAGCACTGTAAAGTCTTTTTTTTTCATCTCACAAAATGAAATCAGCCCCACACAAAGAAACACCATAGTTCCTTCAGCAGGCGCCACACCTGTCGGCCCCTGCTACTTTGAAGGAAAATATTTCTGTAGCTGTGATGTCTTACCCTTACTCTTATGTCTAAAAGCAGTTGCATAAAAGTATATGTCAGCAGATATGCATTCTTCTTCAATGCTGGGCTATAGCTCAAATTGCTAAAAGTGAGAATGGCACGCACAATAGAAACCTGTGCTACTGTAGCTCATTATCACATAAATATGGATACGCTGCAGGCCTAATCATGTTCCCAAACACACAGAGAAAGCTCAAAAGAACAAGTTCAAACTAAAAGCAATTCTTAATCTTGTTCTAACACCAGAGTAAACAGGAAACACTTGTTGCATCTGGATTTATAGTTTTAAGATTTTCACATTTTGCCGAAGCCAGTTTGGCTCAGCGGTAGAGCGTCGGTCTGCGGACTGAAAGATCCCAAGTTTGATTCCGGTCAAGGGCATGTACATTGGTTGCGGGCACATCCCCGGTAGGGGGTGTGCAAGAGGCAACTGGCGGATGTTTCTCTCTCATCGACGTTTCTAGCTCTCTATCTCTCTCTTCCTCTTTGTTAAAAATAATATATATATAAAGATTTTCACATCTTGATGCATGATTAGCAATGCAATGGAGGGCACAAAGCCAGGACCAGGAGACTGGTATTATGCTAAAGGCCCTGCTCTTTACCAGAGCTTCCTAAGACTTAGCTCATTCCATTCTGGGTCCACAGTCTAGATTGGTTTACAACAGGGTTTCTCAATTTCAGTGCTGTTGGCGTTTTGGGGAAGATGATTCTTTACTGAAAGGGCTGACCCTGTACATTGGAGGATCCTCAGTCCAGCGAGGTGTGATGAGCCAAAGTGTCTGCAGACATTGTCAGATGTCCCCTGGTGAAGTAGGGGTAAATTTGCCACATACAGAGAACCACTGCTTTAGAGCAGTGTTGGCTAGAGTCCCTGGGCTTTGTAAGGGTATAGATCGATGAACTGATCCAGAGATCAAGGTTCATCAATCCTTAGCCAGGCCAAGCCATCCTCCACGAAGGAGGGCAACATGGTTCACTGACCCCTTTTTTTCTGGGCCATCCTCCGAGTCCTCTGCCCCTATTGACATTCTCTTTTCAACCTACCCCTTTCCCTATGGGGCTAGTTCACAACACAGGTCAGAATCTGATCACATTGGGGGGAAAGAGGCAATAAAATGGAAAATTGTTTATTGCTGTTTAATCTCCCAAAAGCAAGTAGCTTCTGTATATTGTGAAAGGATATGTAATTGGAAAACCACAGTTGAGAAACTTTCAATTCAGCATGGTTTTAAGCTCTGAGCTACTTTAATGAGGATGGGGAGAGGGATTAGAACCAAAAATGTAAAGGAAAAATTGAACAAATCATAGGCAAATAAGAGAAAGGACTACACCCAATCTATTTTTGCTCAGAGCTATGATTCCAAATTCCATTCTCAGTCAGAAACTATAAGTAAAAGGAAATAAGAAACAAGAGCTTGTCTTCCTGGTCCTGGGAAGGCAGTTCCTACGAAAGGCTATGACATGGTTCAGAATGTGGCTGGAAGAGAACACCTGGCACTGGGTAAGGAGACGCTGTCCTGTGCCAGGTCTCGGGGAAGCTTTTCAGCACCAAGAAGCCTCCCTCTTCTCTCAGGCAGATGCTGAGAATACACACACACCACACACACACATACACACACACACACACACAAAACACAAATACACACACACAAATACATACACATACAAATATATACACACCACATACCACAAATACAAACACACAAATACATACACATACAAATACATACACACCACACACACACACACACACACACACACACACACACATACACACACACCACACACACACACACGCAGCAGAAATTCCCAAAGGACAGCATGATTGCCATCACAGAGAAGGATATCCTTAGCTATACATACCTGTTGTAGGAGAGAAAGGCCAACAAAAACAGCAGGCACGCTAACACATCAGCTCTGCCAACAATTCCAGCTACCTAGGATGTTTGAAAAGTTAAAAAATTAAAACATCAAAAATTACTTTCAGTAAAGTATTACAAAAATATGTTTGGATTTAGATGACTGCAAAGTATAATAAAATGGAAAACACATTGTTCTTCAAATTCTAACCATCTCTGGTTATCATGTATATTTAATAATACATTTATAGAAGGAAAAAAGAAGGAAGGGATAAGATTTTCATACTTCTCTTCATTTTTAACCTTTCTTCAATAGAAGATTAATCCACAGCATCAGTTTCTTCATTTATTGGTGTATTCAAAATATCTTTTTAAGTAAGTTTGGGTTGATTTTTTTAGAGAGAAAGAAATATAAGTTGAGAGAGAAACATAGATCAGCTGCCTCCCGCATGCCCCCTACTAGGGATCAAACCCATACCCGGGCATGTGCCCTGACTGGGAATCGAACCAGCGACCATTTGATGCATGAAAAGACACTCAACTCAACGAACGGAGCCACATCAGTCAGGGGTTTTTTGTTTTTGGTTTTGTATTTTTAAAAACTTTTTTGAGCAATGAGTGAGTGCCAGTGTTCTAGTCTTTGGGCCTGGAATGCTAGTAGAGCAGAGAATACTTACACAGCACTAGTAAAAATAAGTTGAGGAATCAATAATCCTAACAAGAATGGGAATGAATCTGAACTCATCATTGCTATATGTGAATGTATGTACATGCGTGTATTTCTTAGCTGTGCCACCAAAAGAGCCTAAAAGCAAATACCTCAGGGGCAAAGGGCCATCCTGGCACTAACTGCAAGCCATTCCTCCACTAAAGAGAGCATGGACTGCAGAGCTGAGGCTGGGGAGCTATAAGAGAAGCTTGGATCGATCACCTCTTTATGTTAGAAAGTACCTAAGAAAGTGCTCAAAAAATAGCAGGTTCATGTGTAAAAAGGACTCAGATGCCAATGACAAGCCACTGACCAAAGATGATACAATTTGAACATCAAAATAAAGACATTAAAAATTGTAAATCATTAAAAAGATATTCATGAATTCATAATGATAACAAAGATATTCATGAATGCATAATGATAACAAAAATGCATAGTGATGGGTGGATGGATGGATGGATGGATGGATTGACACATGTGTAAGTACCTGCCTATATACAGTAAGCAAGTGAAAGAAAAAGAATGGTGAGCTCTTCCTTACATGAAAAATCCAGTTAATGAATATAGAGGGAGTAGTGCAGTTGGAAAATAGCCATTTGCTTCTCCATATGAGTAAAGATTGACTCACTCAAGAAACATCACAAACTATCAATGCATACTAAATCGAAGGTATGAAAGTTTAATGAAGCACAAGATATTTGCAGGGCTTCAAACCATTTCCTCACCGATTACTTATTAGCTGAATAAATAAAAATAATAATTCTACTATGGGGAAAATGTGCTACATTGTATTACACCTTTACTGGGACATAGAATTTAGCCTCATCAATAAAGGGCAAATGGACATGGCATGTCTAAGCATGTGGTACCCTGAAGAACACATCCCTTGTGTAGTATGACAGCCAGGAACACATAACTTGAATATAATCATGAAAATTCATAGGACAAACACAAGATAAGAATACTCTAATAAAACACATAAATTAACATATACTTATATTAATAAAGTATAACATATAATAATTTTATATTATCATTTTATAACATTAAATATTATATCTTAATATCTTTTAATTTATATTATATCTTGGTTTACTAATTATATTACAGCTCATTATAATCAAATATATCATAATATGATATTGCCCACAATATATTATATATTACAGGTATGTATATGTTGTACTAACATAATATATATTATATGTTTATATTTTGTATATATTATTTTTATATATTTCTATATTATGTATTTACATAGAATAAATTTATATTATTTACATATTATAAAATTTTAATATACTACACTTAAATATTGCATTAAATACTAAAATAATATAAGATATATATTTATATTTTAAGTGTATAATACAGCATATGTTATATAACCTTATGGATTTCAAAGTTATAAAGATCATATTAAGAACATTTTATTATATTCATTCTAACATATGTTTTAAATTACATTTAAAGCTATATATTATATTACAGAAAGATATGACAAGTAGTAACTGTTTCAAACTTAAGGAGACTAAAGTGAAATGATGACTAATAGCCTTAGTTTATAATATACAACTAAATTAAGATGTAAAGTGGCATGAAATGCAACCTGCTCGCAAATGCTTCAGAAAACAATAATTTTATATATTGAGAGAGAAAGAGAAAAAGAATGGTAAAACAAATGTGGCAGTATTTGAAAAATTGGTGAGTCTGGACAAATAAGATATGTTAATTATATTTGTTTAAGTTTTATATTATTTTTTAATGTTATTCAGAAAGGAACCAAATGGAATAAAGGTGGAAGACAGAGGGCTATTTATAAATGTCTGTATAATTGCACAGCTTAAAATATGTGAATTTCTCTTAATTTTTTTAAATCCAAGGAAGAAAACTGTAAAGGAAAAAAAATGGCATATGATTCAAAGAATGCTGCAAAGACAAGGTCACGGATGAGCTGGACCTTTAAGATGAGTTTGCAAAGGAAATAAACTGGGTTAACATTTCAGGCATAGAAAATGGCATCACCCAAATCATAGAAGACCTGAAGTCCACTGTGTATTTGAGACTCAGTCAATAATTAATGGCAGAAAATAGTTTTCTGGAAAATATACATATAAATGTCCTCAAAAAAAAAAAAAAAGAAAAAAAGAAAAATACAATTTGCAATGATAAAGAAGAGGCCATGCCACACCAGGGAGCTAGACCATCCCAGGCTTGAACATATACTTCTTTGCCATCTGAGTAAGAGTGAGACTCAATTTTGTTACCTTTAATTTCTTAAAATAGGTTATCTTTAAAATGAGTACAATACCCCCTACCTTATTTTACTGCTGTAATGAGATGATACATATAAAGTGCCCCCTCAACATTGGCACCCTTCTTTCTTTCTGCCGAGAAAGGGGTTCGAACTCTTAGCCCCGAGACAGGATGTTCTGTGTGTCTTGTGGAAATCACCTTTTTACTTTAAGGAATGTCTCCATAATATTTTAACTTTATTGAATAATCTATCTATTAGCTAAACTAGGAATAAAAATAATTCACATATATGCCTATATATACTGATAGATTGATGGCAAGTCACATATTGAGAAAAATTCTAGTTCAATTGAAATCAAGAGAAACCTGGACATCCTATCTAATAAAAAAAAAAAATAAAAAAAAGAAGAAAAAAAAAAAGAGTGACATGCAAATTAACCATCACTCTGCTACACCCACAAGCCACAGCCAATCAGGTACAAGTATGCAAATCAACCCAACCAAAATGGCTGCAATCACAGAGCGAGCAGGAGTCTCAGGTTTCCCTGGCAATGGAAGAAGCTAAGCTTTCTGCACAACCTGGAAGGCCTAGGCCTCTACTCAAGGCTACAAAGTTTCAATGACAGAAGATAAATAAATCTCAACAAAAATAGCAGCAACCATGGAGCTGGAGAGAGCAGGAGGCTTGGGTTGCCTCTGGCAATGGGGGAAGCCAAGCTTTCCACACACTCTGGCCTTCCTGGGCCTCCACTAAAGGCTACAAAGTTTCAATTATAGACGATAAATAAATCCCAACAAAAATGGCTGTGGCCATGGAGCAAGCAGGAGACAAAGTTTCAATTATAGAAGATAAATAAATCCCAGATACCAGGGCCTCTGCATGGGTTGCCAGGGGGCATGGCTGGCCTGCAAACCACCACAGGCCCCTCAGACTGTCAGGGGAGCAGTTAGGCAATCAGGCCAGCAGGGGAGTGGTTAGGGGGTGATCAGGCTGGCAGGCAGAAGTGGTTAGGAGCAATCAGGAAGCTAGGCAGGTGAGCAGTTGGGAGCCAGCAGTCCTGGATTATGAGAGGAATGTCTGAGTGCCCTTTTAGGTCCAATCCTATTGGTAGTTGGACATCCCTCGAAGGGTCCCATATTGGAGAGGGTACAGGCTGGGTTGAGGGACACCCTCCCTTCCCCCATGCACGAATTTCGTGCACTGGGCCTCTAGTGATCAAAATATTTCATTGTCAGTGCAGAGTTACCTAATGTGGCTGCCTGGACCACACACTGTTCATTGATCCATTAATATATGAAGAACTTGAGTTCCAAATCAGGAAGACTGTATGACTCAAGGGAGTCGGGCAGTGACAAGGTAGCGTCACCTTGGTGTCAAGGCCAAGCTCAAACTCACCATCTGTAATTGCACATGGTTCACCTGAGAAGCCCAAATCTGCTCAGTATACACCTCTGCCACCATGAGCACTGAGCTCAGCATCAGCTCTAGGGCCTCCTGATGGTTCAACAGAGAGTCCAGCTGGCCAGCAACGAAGTCTTGGGATAAGGCCAGGTGTCTGGGCCCGGAGGGACATCCATCATAGCACAACTGATGTGGCCAACTTGGACAATGGCAAGACTTGCAAGCTGATAGTGGGTGTAGCAAGCTGGCATGAGGCAATAATAAACGAGGCAAGCATAACTAATATGTAAAAGGCGCCTGGAGCCCTGCTTTTCGAATTACAGCCAGTTTCAGTGCTGCTGGGAAACAGCAGCGGCAGAATATGCCAGCTGTGTGTGCCCAGATATGAAAAACGCAGCGTCCCTTGGAGCAGAAGGTCAGCGTGAGTGTTAAAATGTTAGTGTGAACCCTGGTAGGCTCTGTTGCTAATTTCAAAACCACCAAGCCTTCACTGAACACCTATTCTATATCCGTATTCCGTTAGGGTCTCTGGGGCTAGGGGTTACAGGTCTAAAATCAAGGAGCTTGTCACCAACAACTCTATGCCCAGACCAGCCACTCACTGTGATTCAATTAGCCAATAGCATCATGTTCAGTAACTGCCTGTGTTACTCCAGTCAACAAGCATTTTCCAAGTGCCTCTGGTTTGCCAGATATTATGCCAGCTGGAGGGATACAGCCTGCCACAAGGAGTTTAACATCTGGTGAGGAGTCAAAAAGAGTGTACTGATATGCCACAGGGAAACTGCAGGTCTCCTAAAGAGGAGAAATCATTGCCATGGGAAGACTAAAGGGATTTATTTTGACTGTAGGATCTAGCAAGGCTTCATGGAAAGGCTGTATACACGAAGACACAGGACAGCAGAGGAAGACGTCAGAAGCTGAGGGTGGATGGGAGAATGTGAATCCTGGGCCAGAGAGGGGATGCAGAAGCATTGCAGGTCAAGGAAAGAGAGGCCTGAACACATACGGGGTATTTCTGAAAGGCAAGGCATAAGGGAATGAGAACATGGAGTAAATGAAAAGGAGACAAATGTGGGCAGTGGGAAGCAGAGATGGAATGTCAATTTGGAGGCCCCTGGGCTTGATGTGACAAAGTCAGCTGGGAAGTGAAAAAGGGCTTGCTCAAAATGTAGATGGACGGCATGTATTTCTGCCTGATGTTGCAGGTTTCCATCTCCAAGGAGGTAGTTATAACCTGAGACCTGAATCCTTTAAATATTCAATCAGTGGAAAAACATCAATGAGTTGGGTAGAATTTAAATAATGTAACATTCAGATCTCTGAGCAAGCTTAAGAGAATGTGGAAATTGCCAATTATGGACTTAATTTGCTCCCCAAACTTATTACTTCTTGGAATACCACTCATAGGATTTGTATCAAGTTATTCATCATTTGACCTGCAAGGATGAGTTCCATTAGCATAAAACAGAGCCAGGAATACACACTTAATACCTGGCAACAGCTGAAGGCTGGACTGACTGATTCGATCATGACAATTCTCTCCTCGGTTATCTTGTCCAAGTTCTAGAAACGTTGACTTTAACTTTCAAATCCATGTGTCAGCATTTCCTGCACATACTTTTGACTAAAGTTCATTCCTTCAAACCAGCAAGGTCTTGTCTCCATCATGGGTAAATTTCAATTCTCCTAAGAGAATTATAATACAATGATTTTTCTCATAATTTCCCAAGAAATATACTGTCAGTTAACCCTTCCAAGAATCTCAAGGCCTTAAGTGAAGAAAGGTCTGCATTTATCTTACTCTATTATTTTTTCTGCATGAGGACTACATTATAGTCTTTCAATATATTTGTTAAAAATTGAGTAAATAAGTGAACTTGTTCCTATCTACTTAAATTGGAAATAATTTTCCCTTTGCTGGGATTCTTGTTTTATTATAACATATTGCTGGGTCTTCTATGTATTTATGGGTATGTGCTTTGGCTTTTTTAGTGAGGATAATTTTTCATTTGATTTTTAGAGAAATGGAAGAAAAAGGGAATGGGAGACAGAGGGAGACAGATAGAGACAGAAACATTGATGTGAGAGAAACAAATCAATTGGTTGCCTCCCACATGCACCTGATCATGGGTAGGGATCAAACCTGCAACCCTGTTACTGTCCTTGACTGGGAATCAGACCCATGGGCTGACGCTCTAAACATTCAGAATGCCAGCCAGGCCTCAAAGCCAATTTTTGAATCATAAACCATATTACATTTCTGATATAATTTTTAAAGTACAGTTAAAAATCAATGTTTAGCATGTTAGGGAGACATTTTCTTCAGGGAAGAACAATGCAGAGGATGGTAACAGTCTTAATTCTATTCCTGCAGAGTAGGAGAACATAAAACCTAGGTAGCCTTTGGCAGTGTGATCATGAGCTGATAAACTTAGGTTGAATTCTAAATTAAAAAAAAGGAAAATCTTGTTAGCAAAATGATCTTTAAGAAAGGGTTTCAACAGGCTTTTGTCATAATTGGGGGGGGGGGAATCCATGGTAACACAATTATAAGGGCAAAATAGTTTAAGGGTTGGACATTTACTTAGGAAAAAGTGTTAGAAAAACGATTTGCATTCACAAAGAGATAAAGGAAGAAGAGAAATTTGACCTACATAACAATCTATAGTAGGAAGTAAAATCAAGAGACTATTATTTAATTATAGATAATAATTGAGGCTCCTAAGGAGGAGGACAGAGAAGTAGACAAAAGAGATGTGCTTTTCAGAAGACATAAATTGATTTTTAGAAGTGATACATTATTTTTAAAAAAAAAATAGAACATAGTTGGTGGGAGAGGGTGTTATTAGGAGATATAGTTCTCCTTCGTTAAACAAAAGCAAAAACAAGACCATAAATTTTCTCAGGAAAGACTGAAAATTTAAATTTTGCAGGGAGGAGGTTTAGTTTAAACATGCTGAGATTACATTTAAACATGTTGCTATGGTTAAGGATTTGTTTTATTGATTATGCAATCAACAAATAATTCATGAGTACTTGGCTTGATGCAGGCACTCTATTGAGTGACAGGGAATATCTGAGAGGATAAAATGTTCCCTACCCTCAACTTAGGTATATGCCCTAACTGGAACTTGAACCCTCAACCTACTGGTATATAGACAATGCTCCAACCAACTGAGCTGCCTGGCCAGGTCTAAGTCACATTTTAAAGAGGACCAGAGCTTTAAATTATCTAACTTTATAAGTAAAAAAAATCATCTTCTACAAAATAACAACACTTCATATTAGATAATTTGAAAAATGATGTGTTAGTCTCCTGTCTTTCTAACTTGAATATCAGTTTAACTTTTTATAGCCCTCTTCCCAGCACTTACAGTTCTGCACCGTAAATATTTTAAATATAAAGCAGAGTGCGAAAAGGTAAAATATAAATGCAGAGTGGGAACAGTGAGCCAGCATGATAAGTATCTCAGAATTCCCCTTGTTGTTAAAAATGCATTAGGACTTACATTTCCTGCAAATAAAGAATGGTGGCCATTTATTACTAGCTGTAATAATAACAGTGGTTATTTAGAAAAGCAATTAAATCCTGGAGGTACAATAAAGACCATTTGAACATTCAAAAAGAGAAGTTGCCAGGCAGTATGATTTATATATAAACACTTTAGTAGAGCTTTAAATTAACAGGGTTTTGAAATGGAAAAAAAGACGACTTTAGTGGGGTTTTTTTGGTTCTTATTTCATTGAGCTCCAATTACACTCACCGCCTCTGTGTGAACAGGATGCACAGCAAAGAGCAATGCCGTAACAAAAGCGAGTCCACGATTCTTGAAGACTGTTTTGTCACAGGTGTACATCAGCACAAGAGTCACCAGGCAGTGCAAAATTACATTCACTGCATGAAAGTAAAATGGGTTCATGCCAGTCAAAAATATGTTTAGCCTAGAACAAAACAAAAACAAAAACAAAAACTGGTTAGTGACCAACAGAACATAAGTACAAGGAAATCAGAGGGAATCCATCATTTTAAAAAGTAAGCTATTCAAGTGATTATTTTTAAACTAGAGGCCCAGTGCACAAATTCGTGCACAGGAGGGATCTGGCCAGCCCACCCCATCAGGGCCAACTGGCCAGGCTGGCCTGGGGGAGGGGCAGCAGGCAGTTGGCCATCCCTGTCCCCTGGTCAAACTCCTGATTAAACTCCTGGTTGAACTCCAATCAAATTCCTGGTTGAGGGAACAATTTGTATATTAGCCTTTTATTATCTAGGATGACTCCCAACATATGAGTTACTCCACATATATGAGTATTACTTTTTTTCCTATCTCAGATGTTTCCTCTCTGCAGAAATCACTGCAAATGCAATACAATATTATTTCAGAAAACTGTGGTCTCACTGAGAAGGTAGACAGAGAGGTGCTGAAATGCTTCCCTCTCTTCATGACTAATGCAAACACCCCCAACAACACTCTTGCTTCACTGCTAGTTCTTCCTAGGCAGCTAAATGTTCAAAGGCAAGACAACAGGGCTATGGGTCAGAGCCACAGCCGATGGAGATGAGAAAGAAACCACAGGACTGTGACTATGGTTACAGTTGGGACAAAATAGGCATAAGGGTATTCTCTCACCTATGGTGCCACCAGGAACCAAATTTCCAGATTATGCACCTGGAAGGCATTGTTAATTACCAGCCCACAAGCAAGCTTCAGGGCACCTACATCCTGGTACCAGCTGCAGTTGAATTTAAAAGGATGAGCAAAAGCATAGCATTTCAGAATTTGTATTAAATGTTTCCTTACAAAATTCCCACAGACCTCTGAATGCTAAGATCATTATGAAAAAAAACAACACACAAAATAAAAACTAAAAACTAAAAAGAGAACCAGGAGAACCACAAAGAAAAGGGAAATGATGTATTGTTCAACATCTTAAAAAACACTTTTCTGAGATAGAAATGCAGTACAGAGAAACTTCCAAAGGTTGCCTTAAATTTAATAATAGGACATCATGTCCCCAACTGAGTTTATGGGGTTATAGAAAAAGTTCAGTCATATGGGGTATGGTTGTTTTGGGGGAACATATACACCGTAAGTAGTATTTCCCATAGGTGTTTATACTCCAGCCCACTTATCCAAAACAGCAATCCCGCATCTTTATTCTTACATCCTTTATCTGCTTTTTATAGAAACACGTCCTCTTTGCCAAAACAATCAAGAATGTAGAAGTCCACATTAGTGATGACATATATCTGATTTGATTCATGCACAGCTTTAACCTACATAATTTTAAATGTCTCAAGCTTTACTTGGACACATGAATCTAAATGTCATAGTTACTAATTGCCTCCACTTTCATTCCCATTGAAGTCATCATGATCCTAACCAAGCTTAGAAAAATGACTTACTGTGTGGGATCCAACTCCAGGGCCCTGACACCAGCAGACCCATGCTGTGCACACCTAAGCATCCTCAATACAAGAGGCTGGTGTGAAATAACTCACCCAAAGGGAAGGAGGAACCACAAGGAACTGGCAGGTCCAACTAAAGGGAGAATGGTGTCCCTTTCCAGTGGGAGAGATCCCACATGTGGTGAGAGCTTCTGGAAATCAGGAAGCTGGGGATGGTGGAGCTATGAGAAGGGCAAGATCAAGTCCCCATCCTCCAACCACTTGGGTGCAATTTCCTAAGGGCCCAACCCCTGAGGTTGATTGTACACTGTTTTCCACATCATCAGGCGGAACTTTGCAAATCAACTAAGCCATTAATTTAAAATTCAATCAGACCTATGATTTTAAGAGAAATAGGCAATCTCAAATCCAGTTAGGAGGATGTCCAAATTGGAAGGTCTTGAGGCTGTCACTGTGTATCAAAGGCTTTAAAAAATACATACGTGAACCAAAAATCCCACTTCTAATAATTTTCCATAAGGAAATAACCACAAAAGTATTTAAATATATATACATATATGTGATATGATAAGAAATACATATTTTAGTCTTCATTCTAAATCCTGGTCAGAGATTCTATAAAACCTTCATCATTTCCTAAACAATGAAGGCGCTAGAAGCATCCCTTGTTCTAATCTCTGTCCCTGGTTCTTAGCACAGAACTCCAAAATCCCTTATAACTTCCTAAATGATAAGAGCACTAAGAGCATCTTTGGTTGTAATGTTTGGCCTTTGCCCTGATTCCTAAATCCCTTGGAATTCCTTGGGTGATAGAAGTGTCTTTTGTCCTAATGAAGTGACTTTTGGTGGGCTGGCTTCAAAGTGGAGGCTGGTCCCCAGAAAGACCAAACCCTGATTTAGAAGAATGGAAATTTCAGCCCCACCACCAACCTCCAGGGTTGAAAGAGGGGTCGGAGATTGAGTTAATAATTAATCATATCTACATGATGAAGCTGCCATAAAAATCCCTAAACTATGGGGTTCAGAGAACTTCCAGTTTGGTGAACACATCCAAGTGACAAGAGAGTTGAACACCCAACTTGAAGCAGATAGAAGCACTTGTGCTCAGAACCCTCCAGTCTCTTTTCACCTTTATTATATGTATAATTAACAATAAATATATGTGTCTCCCTAAGTTCTGCAAGCCATTATCATAAATTATTTATTGAACCTGAGGCATGGCCTTGGGAACTCCCAATTTGTAGTCAAGGTGGACAAAATGTAAGTAATATAGAGATACACTACTTATGATTGACATTTGAAGTGGGAGCAGTCTTATGGGACTGAGCTGTGAATGTGGAGGATCGGATGCTAACTCCAAGCAGACAGTGCCAGAATTAAATTGAAATGTCAGACAACCCAACTGGTGTCAGAGAAATGGTCAGTTGTTTGGAGTAAACCCACATATCTGGTGTCAGAGGTATTGTGAGTGTGTGTAGAGGAGAATACAAAGGAGTATTCTTTTTAATATACAAGGATGCATCTTACTCGGTTAGTTATAAAAATGGCTATAAAGAGAAAGCAAGACATCTAGTAAGCCCAATTGCTGATTATTTGACTATTCACACAGATAGGATGCTGTAGAGCATAATTTGGGATTACAAATAACAGCATTGGTTTTAAAAAGTGGACAATATCAGACAATATTTTTCTAATGTGTCCATTATTCAACTGTTTGAAAAGTACAAAAGTATCATTAAAAATAGTGTTATTATTACTACACTAGAGGCCTGATGCACGAAATTTGTGCTAGAGTAGGCCTGCTTTCCATCCGCTGCTGGCACCGGCTTCCATCTGGCACCCAAGACTGGGGCTGCCCTCACAACCCTGGCTTCATCCAGAAAGTCATCCGGAAGGGCATCTGGTTTAATTAACATATTATGCTTTTATTAATATAGATCACTACACTTTTATGATGCACATACATTCCTTTGTCCTTCTAAAAATGAGGTAAAATGGTAGACATGAGTCACCTTTGTGGTCCATATGTATCATATCTGAAAATGTGTAGGTGACATCTGTATAGATTGTTATTTCTGAAAATGGGTTAGGACAGAGTGCTTGGTATTTTAAGTGAATTCAATCAGATTCCAAAATATAAAAATAAACTGCTGAATGGGGAATCATTGCATTAATAAGGTAAAAGTAGGAGCCTCTCATATGGTACCCAACATTGGTGAATCTCAGCTTTAAGAAATCACCTAGAACCTAGAGTTTGTAGAGTTCCTCAAATGTCTAAAAGATGGGTAGTGAACTCTCCAAACTATAGACAAGTGACCATGAAACAAATAGAGAAACAAAACATATCCTATTTGTGAGCTCTGGGGGCGGGGATGCGGGGGGGGGGAATCTCTGATTTGGGGAGCCCATGTGGAATTACATAAAGGAGCTTTAACTGATCAAACTCATATTTTAATGGGACAGGAGACGTGGAAGACACAGCATGTCTTTAACAAAGGCATTTAAAAAATCTCTCAGAATCTCCTTGCGTACAAGATGGAATAAGATAGATTTGTAGCTCACATGAAGAATAGTGAATAATAAATCATTGTCTCCTTGGATGGAGACCTCTAGTGTATGTCACAGGATTCTGATATAAGCTCTGGTCTGTCCAATATTTTTATCAAAGACGTAAATGAATCTGTGGTGTATGCTGACTAAGCTTGCGGGAGGTCTGTAACCAGGCAGGAGAATTGCTGTCCTGGGAAACTGACTGACAGAGATTCACAAGAAGTTTAAATGCCTGAAATTGTTCATTAATTTTAACTCAGAATATGGGTAAGAGTAAAGACCACATTTAGATATAAAAGAGAACAAAATACATGTGATTAGATTAAAACTGTACACATGGTATTGTCCGAGGACTGTTGGTTTGCCCTAAACTCAAAGAGTTATTGTGTCTTGGATATCCAGAAAGACCAATCCAACAACAGAGAGACAGGGAACTACATAAATCAAACTTATTTTTTCATTTCAATTCACTCCAATATATGTTTATTGAGCACCTACTACATGTCAGGTATGACATAGGGCCCAGAGATACTAAGAGAAGACGTGGCATTATCTACCAACAAGTTAACAGCATAGAAAAAGAAAGAGAGCCAAAACCAGTTTGGCTCAGCAGTAGAGCATCGGCCTGCGGACTGAAAGGTCCCAGGTTCGATTCAGGTCAAGGGCATGTACATTGATTGCTGGCACATCCCCGGTAGGGGGTGTGCAAGAGGCAGCTGTCAATGTTTCTCTCTCATCAACATTTCTAGCTATCTCTCTCCCTTCCTCCTCTCTGTAAAATATCAATAAAATATATATTAAAGATAAATAAATAAAACAGTGTAACCATTTAAAAAAAAAAGAAAAAGAAAAAGAGAGGCACTTAAACAGCTAATTAATGGCTAGCTTAAAAAATTCTAGCAATGGGAGAACTTACCGGTGCAGAAATAGGGAAGAGGGAAGTTTTCTACCTATAGGCAGGTGTGGGGAAGTATCAGGTATCCAA